TTTAAAGTGAATTATGAAAAATTTGGAAAGGCACGGGAATGATTGCTGAACTCAGCAGTATAAGTAGACAGAAAAAAAAAATTGCCTAACAATTAAAGCAGACTGGTAAGCAAGTTGAAAAGATTATTGCTCTTTACTTTTGTTTAAAATCTTTTTCTAAGTACTTTGTAATATGTCAAGAAAGTGCAAGAGACAATGTGCTTCAAGGTGTCATCTGCATATTAGAAATAAAAGGTCAATGACACACTTTATGTGACTGTCTGTATAAAATTCAGCTCAAGCTTTGAGACTACAGAAACTGTAAGCTTTCTAGTTAAAGCTTGCAAAAGCCTTAGTTGACTTAGAATCTTTGATTCCTACATATCTAGCTTTATTTGTTCTAGGGGGTTTATTACTAATGCCTGATCTGGATAAGTTTAAGGAAAGATGGTAGCTCTGGGCAATATTAGCTGCCAAAAATAATAGTTGTGAAACTCTGGAAATGAGCTATAATGCCAGAATTGAGTCATAAGCAGTGGGAATAAGTGAATTAGCTGCAACAAAAAATTCCCCACATGTTGAATTAAATACAGTACTTTTACCTTAAAATATTTGAATAAAGCCTAAGCTATAACTCAGATCATTGTTACCTCTTAGAAAATGTGACCACTAAGGCTGCCTCTGTAAAAGCAAACACTAATAAAGCATATTTAAATTTTCTGCTAAACAACAAGCATGCTTCTTCAACAGACATTTCCCTGCAACTTTTTTCTTCTTCCCTAGCTCTCAAAGATAGTTTAAAATGCAATATTTTATTCACCTGTCAGTTATGTCTGCATAAAATTATTATTTAATTTTAAGATCAGATTGAACCAGGAATCTCCAAGCTCTATTTTGTAAGAAAACCAAATACTGTGGTGCAAACACTTATTTAGAAGGATGATTATGCCAATAGAGAGCAAAACGGCTTGTCAAATGCTTTTTTTTTCAGCAGCATTAACAACAGAGATTAGGAGCAGAAATGAAAAGCTGCACTAAAAAACCCCTAAACTCTAAGTAGAGAAATTAAAGGTTCATTCTTTTTCGTTTTACTGCTGTGGACTGCAGACATTTAGGGTCTGAAAACTGCATGGCACTGTTTGGAAGAAGAAGGAAAATGGTGTATTGGCAAATTCTGACTGGAAGGACATCAGCTGTCTCCAAGTGACAAGTCCAGTCCTGCTCTCTGCAATTACAGGACACAAACAACTCATTGGAATAGGTGACTTGGAGTAGAAATCTTTGGA